CTTTTTTTTTTTTTTTTTTTTTGAGTTGGAGTCTCACTCTGGAGTGCAGTGGCACACTCACAGTCATCTCAGTGTTGACCTTCTGGGCTCCAGCGATCCTTCTGCCTCAGCCTTTCACGTAACTGGAACTACAGGCGCGTGCTATCACTCCTGGCTAATTTTTAAATTTATTTTAGAGACAAGCTCTCACCAAGTTGCCCGGACTGGTCTTGAACTCTCAGGCTCAGGCAATCCACTTGCCTCAGCTTCCCAAAGTGCTGGGATTACAGGTTGAACCACCAAGCCTGGCCCACTTTATTTCTATTATTATGTTGTAATGTATAATAAAATGTATTCTATCACTGCCTCATCTCCACCTCACATCATCAGGCATTAGATTCTCATAAGGAATACACAACCTAGATCCCTTGCAGTTCACGATAAGACTTGCACTTCTATGAGAATCTAATGCCGCTGCTGTTCTGACAGGTGGAAGCTCAGCAATCATGTGAGTGTTGGGGAGTGGCTATAAATACAGATGAAGATCAGTTATGTGGCCTGGCCCTAACAGGCCTCAGACCAGTACCTGTCCGTGGCATAGGCACTGGGGACTCCTATTTTAGAGAACTTATATTGGCATTTTATTTGTCTTCTAACAGCCTATAAGGTAGATAGACCAGTTTTGTCTGCCTTTGTTACTCCAAATACAAGTACTACCAACCCATTTGAATATTTGCAGATAATAATTTTTGGATCCTGAATAAAAAATAATTAAAGTTGCTTCGCATATGGAAGTCATTTCTACTTAACTTGGAACTCTGAGGAGGAAGTGTGCAGTTCCAAAACAGGTCAAGCTGGGCATGGTGGCTCATGCCTGTAATTCTAGCACTTTGGGAAGCAGAGGTGAGAGGATTACCTGAGTTCATGGTTCGAGACCAACCTGGGCAACTTGGTGAGACCTCATCTCTACAATAAATCAAAAAATTAGCTGGGTGTGGTGGCACGCGCTTGTAGTTCCAGCTACTTGACTAAGGCGAAAGGATCACCTGAGCACAGCAGGTCAAGACTGTGTGGCTGTGAGCATGCCACTGCCCTCCAAAGCAGGCCAAGCCTCACTTTTTTTTTTTTGAGTTGGAGTTTCACTGTGTTGCCCAGGCTGGAGGGCAGTAGCACACTCCCAGCCACCGCAGCCTCGACCTCCTGGGCTCAGACGATCTTTCCGCCTCAGCCTTAGAAGAGCCTCACTTTTTTTTATTATAAAGATTTGGGGTACAATTCAAGGTTAGGTATACAAATGTTGATTATGCAGGTACCCTTGTTGATGAGGTGTGCCCCTCCCTCCCCCTAGCTTTTCCCTCAACTGCCAATCTCACCCCCCTCCCCTGACAGTTTCCTACTATTGCCGATCACTTTCTTATAGAGTTATAACTGTTCAGGATCCGCTTATGAGTGAGAACATATAGAACTCTGTTCTTTGTTTCTGTGAGAAATCACTGATTATGATCAACTCCAAATCCATCCAAGTTGCTGTAAAATCCATATATTTGTCCTTCTTTATGATTGCATAATATTCCATTGTGTATATGTACCATGTTTTTTTTTTTTATCCAGTCCAGCTTCAATGGGCAGCATGGTTGGTTCCATATTTTTGCTATTGTGAATAGAGCAGAGCTGCAGAGCCTCACTTTTAATAGGCCATTAGTGAGCTGACCATAAGCTAAAAGTTGCTAATCAGTTTTGTAACTTTTGCAAAGTTAACTTGGAAGAACCCTTGGTAAACAAAGCAGACCTCAAGGAACTCTTTAAACCCATGTCTTCCTCATCTCTAATTATTCTGCTTAATAGGTGCTGTGGAGGGTGTGAGGTATCAGAGAAGAGGCACCGTATGCCATACTAATACCAGGTCATTGCTTTTTTGAGTTGGTCCAGATTGATTAGCAGTGTTAAGATAGGGAAGGCTTATTGAAAAAAAAAATGGTTCCCATAGTCAAATCAGTCTTAAAATTTAACAAATTATTTCTGGATCTGTAGCTTGTAAATTGAGTTTTAGGATAGTTTTCCATAGGAATCGCATTAACAGAAATAGCAACAGCACCACCTAGAGGGTGAAAAGACTAAGCAGGAAGACTCGAGAAACTGGCAAACATTTTTTGGGTTTAGCAGTACAATAGATGTTACACTTTGGGAGACTAAAGCTTCCACCTGCAATATAGAAATGTAACTGCTTCTTATTGTCCATTTTTATTAAGGCATTGGAATCCTGACTTTGAAGTTTATCATATGATATAGACGACTTCAATAAGCATTGACTGTGTATGGTGATGACCTCTTCTGTTCTTTTTTTCTTCTAGCTTTTATCACAAATTCCTTAATGAATCCTATATGGATGGTTAAAACCCGGATGCAGCTAGAGCGGAAGTAAGTTATTAATTCTTCCTTAATATAAGAATTATTGGGGATTTTTTCTTCCCCCAATTCTAGCTGTGATCGAGATACACAGAGACCTTAGCTGTCTCCTAGCATCTAAGCACTTGTAGAAACTCCTTTTGTTTTGAGGCTTATACTGCAAGCTTTGTGGGGGAGGCGCAGCCCGAGAAGAGAACAAACACAGGAAGAGAGGAAGCCCTCTGGATTGTGGCCCTGACTTCTCAGATAGTTGGTGGATTTCTGCCTTTTGCAGACCAGCCACCCCCAATGGAAGAGCTGTGGACTCCTCCAGATGGACTCTTTCAAAGGGAAGACAGTAGGGGTAGCATAGTAAATGCCCTCAGGCCTCAGAAGGTAATTATAGTCTCTAAAGGCCTCAGATACAGCCCTAAAACTCCAGTCAGAGATTCTTAACATTTTTTTGTGTGCTGTGGCTCCCTTTGGCAGTCTGGTGGAGCCTGCAGGCCCTTTTTACAATAATTTTTGTTTTGTAGAGACGAGGTCTCACTCTGTTGCTTTGGCTGGTCTCAAACTCTTAGGCTCAAGCAATCCTCCCATCTCAGCCTCCCAAAAGTGCTGGAATTACAGACCTGAGCCACCACACTCAGCCTACAATAATGTTTTTAAAAATATAGTTATCAGTGACATAGTAGTATGCATCTTTAACACAGTAACAAGATCAAGAGCAGTCTAGTAACTACTATAATTTCAAAGTAGGGGCTCACAACTGTAATCCCAGGACTTTGGGAGACCAAGGCAAGAGGATTGCTTGAGTCCAGGAGTTCAAGACCAGCTGGGCAACATAGCAAGACCTCATCTCTACAAAAATTTAAAAAAATAACCAACATGGTGGCACGTGCCTGTAATCTCAGCTACTTGGGAGGCTGAAGCAGAAGGCATTGCTTGAGCCCAGAAGGTCAAGGCTGCAGTAAGCTGTGATCATGCCACTGCTCTCCAGCCTGGATGTCAGAGCAAGACCCCAACTCAAAAATAAAAAAAGTACTGATGATAGATAGCATCCTGTGATGTTTGTGACAAATGTAGTATGATATGAAAATATTTCTATTTGAATAAAATCACAGGGACTACTAATACTGTTTCTCTACATGCATAATGAAAGGAATGCTGGTTTCAGCAAAAGATTAGGGTTAAGGATACCATCTGCCCAACCCCAGTGTGAGTTCAAGGAACTGCCCAGAACCCCTGTGTCACTGGGTTGCCTAGAAATGCATGTGCTAGAAACATCCAGCTGGCCCATTCTGGCTTTAAACCTCTCCTGTAAAGGAGGAGGTGAGAGAAAACATTCCAGGAGGGGCGGGTAGGTGCCTGCCTTAGTTCTGTTTCTCTCTAATGACCACAGTAGCTTCTGCATTGGTCTTTGACTCCAGGTTCTCCCAGTTCTGCCTGAAAGAGCCTTCCGATGCGCTTCAGGCCTGATCATTTGAACAACTCCTTGCTCAGAATCCTTCTCAGGGTAAATCTGAACTCCTTGGCTTGGCATCCAGCAGTCCTTTGCATTTCCCAAAAATGGCATTTCCTCTTCTGCCCCATCTCCCTGCATGTGCTGTCCCCAGCCAGGGATCCCATTTGCGTTCCTTGATTGTGCTGGCACCTCTCCTAAAAACCTTTGGTGGTCATTCCCAACTCCAAGTGATCACATGGTGTCCTAGTTCCACTGCTTTTTAGCAGTGGATAAATGACGTCCATCTGCTGGGAGTCTTGATCTGCATTATTTCCATCTACCTAGTGATGATAGTGCACAGAACATTTTATTTTATTTTATTTTATTTTGAGTTGGAATCTCACTCTGTTGCCCAGACTGGAGTGCAGTGGCCACTCTCGGCCACCGCACCCTCGACCTGGTGGGCTCCAGTGATCCTTCCGCCTCAACCTTCCCAGTAGCTGGAAGTACAGGTGCGCACTACCATGCCTGGCTAATTTCTGATTTATTGTAGAGATGAGGTCTCTCCAAGTTGCCTGGGCGGGTCTCTAACCCACAGGCTCAGGCAATCCACTCATCTCGGCCTCCCAAAGTGCTAGGATTACAGGCTGAGCCACCGAACCTGGCCTATTTTATTTATTTTTGAGTCAGAGTCTCGCTCTGTCACCCAGGCTGGAGGGCAGTGACACGCTCACAGCCACTGCAGCCTCAACCTGGTGGGCTCAGGCAATCCTTCTGCCTCAGCCTTCCAAGTAGCTGGAACCACAGGTGCACACCACCACTTCTGGCTAATTTTTGATTTATTGTAGAGATGAGTTCTCACCAAGTTGCCCAGGCTGGTCTTGAGCCCCTGAACTCAGGCAATCCTCTCACTTCTGCCTCCCAAAGTGCTGGGATTATAGGCGTGAGCCACTGTGCCCAGTCACAGAACATCTTAGAACTGTGTTTGCATGGGCTTTGTTAATACTTGTCCCTCAACAATGAATATTTGCTGCTTGTACTAGCCACTAGGAAAACAGCAGGGAATAAGACCTAGTTCCTGTCCTCTTTGAGCTTATAGCTTTGCAGAAATTAAAGAATTATTGTTTGGTGGGATGAGGGGCTTGAGCTACCACACTGGAGAGTCCCCCAGCACAGTCCAGGCTGGGTAGAAGAGGTTGGAAGGGCCTCCTGAGACAGCAACACCCACCCTGACATCTTAAGAATAGCCAGATGGGGGCGGCAGTGAAGGGTCCTTCGGGCAGAAAGTCTTGAGGCAAAAAAGGGCAGTTCGTTCTGGGGAGCTGTAAGATGGGAAGTGTGTATACTGGAGGAGGGAATGGTGGAAAGATGAGGCTGGAGAGCTAAGGGAGTCTGATTCTTGTTGGGCTTTGAGGGCTGTACAAAGCCATTAGAGCCAGTGGTTCTCAGGGACATGCGGGTGCCCTCCAGGAGACGTTTTTTGTTGCCACAGCTCAAGAGGGGTGCTTCTGGCACCTAGTGTGCCTAGGGACCAGGGATGCTGCTTAACGTCCTACAATGCACTGAGCAGCCTCTCCTCCCCAAACAGGACTCCCTGGGTGGAGGGTGAGAAACCCTGCGGGCTGTAAGTGGGGAGCCACAGGGTTGTGTTAGAAAGGTCACTCCCACCAGGGGGCAGAACAGCCTCTGGGGGGACACAATAAAGAAGGAAGAGAGACCCTGTGGGGCTCGCTGAAGCCCAAGGGGTCTCCCACCGCTGCGCCTCCGCGGGGGGGGGGCTCTGCGAGGGTGGCCGGTGGAAACACCACACTTGTCCAGTGTATTTGCATTCCACCTGGCAGCCAGGCAGCTTATAAAGGCTGTGTTATGGGAGGAGCTAAGCCTAAGGCTTTTTATTAGCTGTGTTATCATCTATTTGATGTTTATGATTTGATAAATTTTGAAATAATAGAGTCCAAATACACCACTCGGAGACTAGAGCAGTAAGAAAGAGCACCCTACACTCACAAACCTGTTGGAATTGTGGTGAATTTCCCTTCACAATTCTCTTATTTGCATTGTATTTGTAATCGTCCTTCACATTGAACTTTAGCCTGCTTTCCACTGAAAGTCCCTGCATCTCTGCTGTGGTGACTGTTGTAACCTGGTGTATGTACCACTGTTTACTTTCCTACTCCTGTTTTTAGATATTTGGATTGTTTTGGTTGTATTGCAGTTACACTTCCTCTGTGATGAGCACCATCCTCCCTGTGGCTCTTTCTAAAATCCGGTCAAAAACTGGAAACGTGTTTCCATGACTCTTGATACAGATACTCATACTATTCTGTGGACCTGTCAGGTGTCCCAGCCAGGTGGAACAAGAGCAACACATTTCTCCAGTGGTCTCATTGCTTTGTGTTCAGCGATCACGTGTCTCTTGTAATGGCCTATCCTCGATTTCCTTTCTGCAGAGTGAGGGGCTCCAAGCAGATGAATACACTCCAGTGTGCTCGCTACGTTTACCAGACAGAAGGCATTCGTGGCTTCTACAGAGGACTAACCGCCTCGTATGCTGGAATTTCAGAGACGATCATCTGTTTTGCTATTTATGAAAGTTTGAAGAAGTACCTGAAAGAAGCTCCATTGGCCTCTTCTGCAAATGGGACTGAGAACAATTCCACCAGTTTTTTTGGACTCATGGCAGCTGCTGCTATTTCGAAGGGATGTGCCTCCTGCATCGCTTACCCACATGGTACGTGCTGCTTGTTTCTTCCAGAGCAGATGAAACAACTGTCAGGGTTGTCATTTGCCAGTGAATCTAGGCCTCTATAGCAGGAATTGAAACCTGAATACCCGCAGGTGAGGTCAGTGAGTATGTGAAACGCTCTGACTGTATGGACAGGGTCATGTGAGTGTCGAGAACCCTCCCTTCCTCAGCACCTCAGCATCAGACTGTGGCCAGAAATGCAGGCCCTGTGTTGCTGAACTTCTGGTGTCTTCAAAGAAGCTACAGATCTGGGTGTTATTTAAAATTCCTCTATTCGAAATAATTATGTGGGAGTCAGACTTAAAAATCACTTAGCTTACACTTTGAATGAGTCTTAAGTAAGTCTACTTTGGGTAAGTTTACTTTTTTTTTTTTCTTGAGTTAGAATCTCACTCTGTCACCCAGACTGGAGTGCAGTGGCTGCTCCCAGCCACTGCAGCCTCGACCTGCTGGGCTCCGGCGATCCTTTCGCCTCAGCCTTCCAAGTAGCTGGAACTACAGGCGCGTGCTACCATGCCCAGGTAATTTTTTGATTTATTGTAGAGATGAGGTCTCGCCAAGTTGCCCAGGCAGGTCTCGAACCCACGGGCTCAGGCAATCCACTCACCTCAGCCTCCCAAAGCGTGAGATTACAGGCTGAGCCACTGAGCCCGGCCTACTTTTTTTTGAGTCGGAGTGTCACTCTGTCACCCAGGCTATAGTACAGTGGCATGCTCACAGCCACAGCACCATCTACCTGCTGGGCTTGGGCAATCCTTCTGCTTCAGTCTTCCAGGTAGCTGGAACTGCAGGCATGCACCACTATACCTAGCTAATTTTTCTTGATTTATTGTAGAAATGAAGTCTCACCAAGTTGCCCAGGCTCGTCTCGAACCCATGGGCTCAGGCAATCCTCTCAACTTGACCTCCCAAAGTGCTAGGATTATAGGCATGAGCCACCGTGCCTGGCCAAGTTTACTTTTTTAAAGAAAAAGGCTTTTTTAGAATTATGTCTTATTGGCCCACTTTTTAAAAAATGCTTAGTTTACTGTGTCATGAAAAACAGGTTTTGTTTTCATAAGCCACCGTACCATCAGCTATAACAAATGCACACGGTCAGTCAGTGACAGGCATCCAGTGCTCACTGTGTGCTGGTGCACTCATCTAACCTCAGAGGGCTTATGGGAAAGAAGTTGGTGATGCCTCCAGGGTGTGAAGGCAGGAATGAGGAATGTCCGGCTGCAGGTGCTTGGGAAGGAAGGCCAGATGTACAGAGGCTTAAAAAGGAGGAGGAGGCTTTTGAGCTTTACAGAATAGAAAAGAACTTCAGGAGGAGAGAATTGAGGAGTAGAAGAAAAGAGTTTGTTGAAGATGCTACCATACTTAATACAGATTACACCGTCAGTGAAATTAGTGTTTGCTTAGTTAGGCATAGAAGGCCAGGTGTGATGGCTCAAACCTGTAATCCCAGCACTTTGGGAGGCCAAGACTAGAGGACTGCCTGAGTCTGGGAGTTTGAGACCAGCCTGGGCAACTTGGCGAGACCTTGTCTCTACAATAAATCAAAAAATTAGCTAGGCATGGTAGTGCACGCCTGTAGTTCCAGCTACTTGGAAGGCTGAGGTGGAAGGATCACCTGAGCCCAGCAGGTCGAAGCTGTAGTGGCTGTGAGCATGCCACTGCACTCCAGCCTGGGCAACAGAGTGAGACTCCAACTCAAAAAAAAAAAAAAAGAACTTTTCATTTTTTTGCTAGGTATATGACTGTCCTGTTTGAGCAGCACTGAGGCAGCAAATAGACATCATTGTCTATTTGTAACACTGACGCTTCTAAAGCTGTGGCGGGATTCTTTGCCTGTTATAGTCGTAACATAAAGCAGGTATTCCTCTCTCTGCAGAAGTCATAAGGACGCGGCTCCGGGAGGAAGGCACCAAGTACAAGACCTTCATCCAGACGGCACGCCTGGTGTTCCGGGAGGAAGGCTACCTCGCCTTTTACAGAGGGCTCTTTGCCCAGCTCATCCGGCAGATCCCAAACACTGCCATTGTGTTGTCTACCTATGAGTTGATCGTGTACCTATTAGAAGACCACACTTAGAAGCAGGCCAGAACATTGTGCCGTAGAAGAATAAAACTGAAAAACTCTAGAGAATCTTTTCTTCCCATTGATGTTCAGAATGTTTGAGATGGAAACAGGAAAGGCCCTAGGATACCTGGCTCATTTCACCTGTTGGACATTTCCTTTTGGATCCATGCTTTCTGGAAGGTTTAAAGTCATTAACGTTCATAGTTAATTGTAACTTTTTTTTTTTAACTTAAGAGGATTCAGGATGAAGCAGCAGCTAAATTAAATCATGCTATTTAATTTAAGTATACGCTTGGTTTGGTTTGTGTCCTTTTTATGTTCACTGTACTCTAAACTGTAGATAAGGACTTAGATATTTCAGCGAAACATGCCCTAGGAACACACAGAATGGTAAAGTCAAAATACTACTTGTTTTCTATTTTCACTTTAAGATCTCACTGCTGGACAGGGAGGAAGCGTCACATTTTGATGGGACTGTGTGGACCAGGATAAACTTCCTAGCTGCTTTTCTCCATTGTATATTTCCAGTTACAGATTGATCATCTAAGCTTTCAGGTTGCTGAGATGGAAAAAAATAAATATGACTTTCTGACACGAAATATTTTAAGCTATGCAGCTTTTCCCAAAGTTATTCTCATCTTTCTCATTTGAACCAAAGGCGGAAGTTTTTAAAGAACTGGTTCTCAATTGCCCAACTCCTGGATGTTGTTCCGGAAATTAAGCCCAGTTCCCTTGTCAGTGTGTCACGCAGCACAGGTTCCCAGTTGGGCTGTAGGTGCAGGATGTGGTGGGGACAGCCATTCCTTCTCAGTCTTAACCCTGTTCTTCGTTCTCTGCTGGTTGCGACCCAGGGCTGACCCCCACCCCCACAAAGTTCACTTTTATTCTGACATGAGGCTCTGGTTTTGTTAAATACTCTACTTCAAAGTTTAAAATATGACCAGAAGTTTATCCCCTTGGTTTCCTTTTTTTGTTTATTTTTTGTTTTTGAGTCAGAGTCTCACCCTGTTGCCCAGGCTGGAGTGCAGTGGCCACGCTCACAACCAACTGCGTCTTGACCTACTGGGCTCAGGTGATCCTTCTGCCTCAGCCTTCCAAGTAGCTGGAACCACAGTCATGCGCCACCATGCCTGGGTAATTTTTTTTGATTTATTGTAGAGACAAGGTCTTGCCAAGTTGCTCAGGCTGGTTTCAAACCCTTGGGCTCAGGCAGTCCTCACTCTTCTACCTCCCAGCGTGCTGGGATTACAGGCATGAGCCACTGCACCCGGCCACCCCTTGTTTTTTTATGTTTGTTTGTTTGTTTGTTTGTTTGTTTTTGAGTTGGAGTCTCACTCTGTCGCCCAGACTGGAGTGCAGTGGTCGCTTCCGGCCACCGCAGCCTCCACCCGCTGGGCTCCGGCGATCCTTCCACCTCAGCCTTCCAAGTAGCCGGAATTACAGGCATGCGCTACCATGCCCGGCTGATTTTTTGATTTATTGTAGAGATGAGGTCTCGCTGCCCAGGCGGGTCTCCAACCCGTGGGCTCAGGCAATCCACTCACCTTAGCCTCCCAAAGGTGCGGGATTATAGGCTGAGGCACCGAGCCCGGCTCACCCCTTGTTTTTTAAAGTACATATAATAAGGGAACAAAAAAATAGTAATAAGACAGAGGCAGGTACAACCAATAGTCTCTCTTCCTTTTTTTTTTTTTTTATGAACTAAGCAAAGTAGATTAAGGAAAGATACGTTGTAAAGGGCACAATGGACAGGACAACAAAAAGTGTCTGCTGCTGTGAAGGTTATTTTTCAACCTGAACATCTAGAAAAATTTTCATTTCTCATACCTGATGCCTTGTAGTTTCAGATTCAATCACAGACACTCTGGTAAGGATAAGAAGATATTTCCAAGTTGTATTTAAATTGAAGAGTTTTTTTGTTTACCTTTATGTAGTCATAAGGGAAGTTAGCTGGTATTCCTAGTATAATTTGCTTCAACAACTATCTAGAAGTCAACATGAGTGACTTTAGTCTAGCTTCAATGCTTTTTTTTTTTTTTTTGAGTTGGAGTCTCACTCTGTTGCCCAGTCTCAACCTGCTGGGCTCCAGCGATCCTTCCGCCTCCGCCTTCCAAGTAGCCGGAACTACAGGCGCACGCTACTACACCTGGCTGATTTTTTTTTTTTTTTTTTTTTTATTGTAGAGATGAGGTCTTGCTGCCCGGTGGGTCTCGAACCCGTGGGCTCAGGCAATCCACTCACCTCAGCCTCCCAAAGGCGCGGGATTACAGGCTGAGCCACTGAGCCCGGCAAGCTTCAATGCTTTTTAAAATGTGTGACAGTAAAGTGATTTCTATTCCAGAAACTCATTGTAACTGACGGTGGCACTTGGTAACATCTTACTTTAATACTCACATTTCTATTTTAATATTCGTACTTGATGATGGCACTTAGCAACATCCTCCTATTTTAATATTCGTGTTAGAACTGGAGTTTTTCTCAAGATTTCATCTAATGCGAAGGGTTAAAATTGGCTTAATTTTCACTTACATATTCTCAAGTAAATAAACTAGGTGTTGACCTATTATCATTTAGTTTTCTGCTTCCCCTTTACCAGTGCATTATTGAAATGAAAGAAATGTAAGCACCCAAAGTGAGAAGAAAACTAGGAAAGAAGTTTGTTGGATTTTTGAAGTGGGAACTATCATCATTTGAGCTATTAATGGAAAAAACCCTAATTCATTTCTCCTCTCCACAAGCTTAGTCATTGGGGTTTCATTATTATTATTATTATTTTTGAGTTGGAGTCTCACTCCGTCGCCCACACTGGAGTGCAGTGGCCGCTCCCGGCCACCGCAGCCTTGACCTGCTGGGCTCCGGCGATCCTTCCGCCTCAGCCTTCCGAGTAGCCGGAACTACAGGCGTGCGCTACCACACCCAGCTAATTTTTGATTTATCATAGAAATGAGGTCTCACCAAGTTGCCCGGGCAGGTCTCAAACCCACAAGCTCAGTCAATTCACTCACCTCAGCCTCCCAAGGCGTGGGATTACAGGCTGAGCCACTGAGCCAGTCGTTCGTTATTTTTAAATAGTCTATATATGCACACATACTTACATAACATGCCATACTATATATGAGAACTCAAAAACTCACTGCATGCCCAAGCACCGTGCAGGGTGTTAGGTGCAACACTGACCTGCTTCGGGTAATGCAAAAGTAAGTGGTCAACTGACCCACCGCAGGTTTGTACTACTTGCCGAGTAAAAGAGATGGGAGCATTTGAGCCTGTGGAATGGTCTGACTCCAAAGTCAAGGACTAGAAAAAAAATTCCGTTCCATTTACTTAAGAATTACGAATCCACGGGAGGTATCACTCATCAAGGTGTGCTTAAACTAAATGTATGTGACAGAATTTGCCCTATTGATTAGAGAGTCCTTTCTTATAGAGTGGCCCATGTGGACAGTGAATCATCCTTGGAAAGGGAATGGTATGTAAATACAATGCCTCACATTTTGAGGGAAGCTACATCTGAGGTTCCTCATTCGCGTGTTTGCTTATGGCTGGTGAAAGCTTCAACACTGCACATGGAAAGTCCATTTGCTGGGATTCTCTTGTCCAAGAAAGAGGAGATCCAGTTCAGACCTGAGTCACCTTCTAGGCTTCATGTTGGGTTCACTCGCCACACCTGCCAGGCCCTTCTTCCTGTCTAGTGAATGTGCATGGTTAGGGTGTGGAGAGATGAACTGGCTGCAGGAACAAAGAACGTGTGCCCATCGCTGCCCACAGAGAACTTGCAATGGTGACCTCAAGAAACACTGGGAGGCTGAGGTGAGTGAATTGCCTGAGCCCGCGGGTTCTAGAGCCGCCTGGGCAGCGAGACCTCATCTCTACAATAAATCAAAAAATCAGCCGGGCGTGGTAGCACATGCCTGTAATTCCGGATACTCGGAAGGCTGGGGCAGGTTGAGACTGCGGTGGCCGGAAGCAGCCACTGCACTCCAGTCTGGGCGACAGATGAGACTCCAACACAACAACAACAACAACAACAACAACAACAACAAAACACTGGAGAAGTTTTTGAAACACTGAAATATAATGTGTAGTTAGATACAAATATTTTCTATTTGTTTAAGCTGGAAATTTAGTTCAAACACATGGTGAAGCTTCCCTTGGAATCGCCTATCATGGCTGTCCAGATAATTAGTTTGCCAGTCAATGTTAATCATCCTCCACTTCCTACAAACAGGGCTTTATTCAAACTGTGAATATTATAAAAATTAATCTGCATGTTGCTTTTTCAAAAACAATGTATCATCCCTCCATGCCAGTAACTCTAGGCCTGACATTCTAACCAAATTGTATTCTGTTCCAAAGTATGGGTGTCCTATGATTTATTCAACTTTGTCCCTATCTACATTGGTTTATGTTTTTATTTATTTATTTTTGAGTTGAGTCTCACTCTGTCCCCCAGGCTGGAGTGCAGTGGCACGCTCACGTCCACCGCAGCCTGGACCTGCTGGGCTCCGGCGATCCTTCCGCCTCAGCCTTCCAAGTAGCTGGAACCTCAGGTATGCGCCACCACACCCGACTAATTTCTTGATTTACTGTAAAGACTAGGTCTCACCATGTTGCCCAGGCTGGTCTCGAACCCGTGGGTTTAGGCAATCCTCTCGCCTCGGACTCCCAAAGTGCTGAGATTACAGGCGTGAGCCACCGCGCCTAAAAAGCTAATTTTTTGACCGTAGGAGCGGCTTAGGAGTTGCAGTTTGCGGCAAAACAGCACTAAGAGCGTAGACCGGGTTTGGCTAGACTATGGAAAGACAGGATTAGCAGGAGAAAAAGACGTGCCACGCGGTTGCGAATGCCGGCGTGCCCCCCTAGCAGAAGGCGGGGGGGCTTTCTGCAGCGGGGCTCGGGGCACTCGCCGAGAGCGCGAGGGGCA